TCCTGCTCCAGGACAGTACTCTGTGATTAGCTCCAGATGTTAGGATGATGTGATAAAAATCGTGCTGTGATTTTGAAACTCTTGAGACATCAATTGTCTTGTCTGTTTCATCTAAATATGTCTCAGCCATAAATAGTACTACCAAAAAAACACCTGCAGCATTTCCTTAGGGTATACCTGTTTCAAGTAAACCTCTCACTGCTTCCTCTGACACCTGTGATCGAGGGGGTGAACTTCTGCAACGTCCTCTGAGATCTAGGCACACATATATGCAGTCCTCTTGAAAGACAGGTATGGGGTCCTATTTATCTCCAATATGAAATGAGATTTGTGCAAAAGAAATTCTTCTGATTTCACTTAGTTACCTAACCTGAAGCAATGCTGTGTGCAAATAGCTATCACCCTTTTCTTAATTAAGAATGCTCAAGATGTTCCTATTAATCTCTTTCTCTGTAAGTCATCCTTAAAAATTTAGGAGATTTTTTTTATTTTCCCTTTTTTTTTTTTTTTAAACCAGTAACAAATTGAGCACTGCTCCTGAAAGTTGTTTGTGTGAAAGCTGGATCATTGTCAGTGAGCTATTGAAGCCTTAGGTCGTAGGAAGTGGTGCTTCGGTGACTGAGGTCAGGCAGTTTAAGAGTTTACTTTCCTTCAGTTCAAATGCAGGATATGTTTGGGTATGTGCTCTTCACTCTTTTCCTTGCAAAATTCACTTCAGTTGCTTTCAGTTGTCATTTAGACCACTTACTTATGGGGTCTCACAGAGTCACACAATATCTAAGGTCGGCAGGGATTCACAGGGGTTGTCTAGTCCAATCCCACTCTCAAACAGGGTGATTTACAGCAGATTGCTCAGTGCTGTGGTCTATGAAGTTTTGAATATCTCTGTAGACGGTGACTCCACAGCATCTTTCTGCAACCCCAGTTTTTTTTTCTTATGTTTAAATGGGATTCCCTGTATTTCAGTTTGTACACATTTTCTCTTCTCCTGTCACTGGGCACCAGCCAGAACAGCCTGGCTCCCTCTTCTTCATTCCCTTTCATCAGATATTTATGCACACTACTGAGATCCCTCTGAACCTTGTCTTCTCCAGGCTAAACAGTCCCAGCACTCTCAGCCTCTGCTCGTATGAGAGATTCTCAAGTCTCCTAATTGTCTTCATGATCCTTCACTGGCTTACTCCAGTAGCTCCATATCTCTCTTGTGTCTGGGAGCCCAGAACTGGGCACATCACTCCAAAGTTGGTCTCACCAGAGCCGAGTAGAAGAGAAGGATCACCTCCCTCAACCTGCTGGCAACACTCGTCCTAATGCAGCCCAGGAGGCTGTTGACATTCTTTGCTGCAAGGACGCATTGCTGGCTTATGGTCAGCTTGTTGTCCATCAGAACCCCAAGGCCTTTATTGCAAAACTTCTTCCCAGACAGCTGACCTGCTTTCCAGCTTTTTCACTGGGCAATGTCTCCCACATGTCCCCCAGAAATGAGTTACTGGTTTTCAGGTGGCTGATGACAACTTAAACCAGCAAATTTCACATGAAAGTGTATCTGAGTGCCCTTGTGGTATCTGGCTTAACACCTGATTGCCGAGTTCTTTAGCCCATATGAATCAAGGGAATTACTATTCATTTTGAATGCCTGCCATGCCACTTGTCTTCTAAAAAAACCATCCCTGAGACACATTCCCTCAAGGAAGTTTTTTATCCTTTGGGAGCAGGGCTGTTTATTATAGCCAGAAAGGTGACTGTTTGCACATCATCCTGGAGCTTCAGCCATTTCTGTGTTTTTCCTGTGGCCTTGTCTAGAGGTGTTGGAAATAACATTGATTGAAGCTGCTTACCGATTAGTGATTACTTTGGCATTCTCTGTCTTCTCTGTATGTCAAGGTAGATGTTATGGTTGAGATGTGAAAGAAGATAGAAAGACCCAGGCTTATCATATGAACAGATTCAGTCAGTGTGTCTTCACTTCTGTTTCCTTGGAAGCTTCAAAAGCAGGCTTGAGGACAGAACTTCTTCTCATTCTTTCTGCTTGTGCCTGTTAACTGCAGCATCTCAGTTGCATGCAAATGAATTCTCTGGAGCCTCCACTTCTGAACTGCTAAAAACAGAAGCTGTTATCCAGGAAATGTTAACCACAAAGCCTAAAGTTTAGGGTGAAGAACAAATGATACATGAAAAAAGCTTTTCTATACCAAAAGTAGCACAAGAGATCAGAGTTAAAATGTAGTGTAAAATTTTCCTTCTCATTATATATTTCCTTCCAATTAGTCAACAGTGATACCACAGTGCAACATTCTGCACATTTAGAAGGTAGCTTTGAAATCAAAGGTGAATTAATAGAGTCTGTGAAGACCCTGAAACTACGTTTGTGTTCTTGTAGGTGTCCTGTGTGCTGAATAGCTGCAAAATTAAAAAAAAATAAATATTCAAAAAATATTCAAAATCTTGGTCTTGTGTAAGAGATAAAAGAAAAAAGAACTCTACTCAATTTCATTCCTTACATGATAAGCTGAGCTGACATTGCAACTTATGATAGCCTAGAAGTAGTGCTTACAGGGGAAAACAAATCACTTTCTGCTGCTGAATTCTGCTTCATAAGTAACTAATGTATTACACTGTGTGGGTAGATCTAAGTGGAGAGAAGCTAAAAAGAGACAAACTTGATAGATTATAGAACCCAAATCAGTTTGATCATCAGTGGAAGTATTTGTTGAGGGGAATACAGAAATTAAAGGTATTACTGGCATTGGTCATCAATGATTTATGCACAGTAAAGCTATTTAGGGAGGTCCCTGCAATAGGGATGTGTGACTCAACTAGTCTCCAATGCCTTTCCACTTGCTATGAAATTCTAGATTGGTTACAATTTCAGTTTGCCTTCCTTGCATCCCAGGAAAGAAATCACCACATAATGCAAGAGTTCCTGCATTACTTTGACCCTGCCGAGGAAGATGGAAAATGACAGTAGAGGAAGGCTGACAGTAGCTAGGATCCCTGAATATTCCAGCTCTGGTTTGTTCGAGCTCCCTGGATGTCTTCCTCTTTTTATCCACAGGTTTCCCAACAGGGTGGAAATGTCACGAAGCTTGTGGTTAGCTAGCTGAATGGAAACAGTCATGTTTACTGTTATTATTTCCCACTTGGCAAAAAAGGTCTATAACAATCAGATCTCTTCAGGCTTAAAATGATGTTTCCCCATGCTTCTCCTATGGGAGATGTAAAGGGACCATTTCTCTGTCACATTTTGGGGGATTAGAGGGTTGCTTTTGATTCAGGGCTGCTTTCAGTTTAGGGCTCTAGGAAAATATGCAACCTGGAAAAGGTATGTAGAGAGGAAAAGTCACAGGATCTGCTCACCTCTCAACAAATTCCTTGGTGGCTGTTGGAGGCAGTAGTTAATCCAGTAACTGTATTCTCTGGGGCAATTCCTGACAGGCTGCAAATGTTTCTCCCTGTGAGAATCAAGGTTCCACCATCACCATGCTGAGAACTGACATGGAAAGCAAGAGCAAACACAGTCCTCTAGCACTGCCAGGGATAAGGGGCTGCAAAAATCTCTTCCCTCCACTTAGTCTCTAATAATGCCAGCAACTATTGGGAAAGACTTGATGGTGTCCTCATTCCTGTCTAAGTTTTTTAAAAGGCCAGATAACTTTGCTTTATGCAAGGCAAGACATGTTGAATACGTATGTGCATGTGGGTATGTGTGGCAGCAAGGCTGTCTCAGATGAACTCAGTTAAGTCTGAGCCAGCAAGGAGCCAATCTGGAGCTGTCCTGACACAGGAACTAAGGACAATAACCAGCCACCTACAGTGTTCTTCCAGCATGAAGGTAAATGGTGCAGGGTGTTTTCCTGCTCCATGCAAAGTCCAGCACAACTCCCAAAGGATATGTGTCTTCACTTCATCCATGTAACCAGGCTTGATTCTGCTGCAGCCCTCCAGTGCCCAGATGTTGAAGTATCACAGTAATTGCCCTCCCCCTTTCCCCAGCCCCTGCCTTCCTCCCCAGCTGGATGATTGCCAGTCATTTGCCAATAAAAGTGCCTCTGAAATACAAGGTAAATGGCCTTTATGCAGCCCCATGGAGGCAGAGACATGCAAGAAGCTTCCCCATTTGCACAGCTGGGCAAGAGCTTTGCACAATAACAGAGAGCTGGCTCAGGATCACACAGGGACTGAAAATTTGAAAGCAATGTGCATGCAGTGGTAGAAAGACGACCAGGCACAGCCAGTATCCCACCTACATGCTAAGCATTAGAAGCAGTGGCATCCAAGGGTACATAAGAGACATGCAGAGATTCTCCTTCTTTCTAGTCAATGATAGGAGCCTAGAAATCAGCAGCTCCATGTGTTTGCTGATGCTGTGTGCTCCTAAGTGTCATGGGATATGTAATTTTTGCCAACAATTAAAACTGTGGTTACTCATCCCTGCAATCGAGATTTCAAATTCCTTTCCTAGCCCTGGTCTTATTTCTTTCTGGATGTATCACCTGCCTGTCACATTGAAGACCCTCCAGAAGCAACCTTCAGTCACTTGACTGAGCTGATGGAATGAAAACATTGTGTGGACGGCAGCTTGCCCACTTCAGAACTGCAAACCAATTGTGTTGCCATCATGCAAGTCTACAGATATAGTCTGTTCCTCTTGCTGCTTTCTCTCACCAGTGCCAGGTAACCCACTTGATCAAGATGGGTGCTTTGCCCACCTTTGGCCTCTGTGGCGAGTGTGCCTCCACTACAGTGGAAGGAAAAACATTTCCAGATGCAGAGGGACTGGAAGGAGGTCCTGAGTGTGGGGAAGGAGAGAGCTGGCATCATGGTGGTTTTCAACATTCTTACAAGGCTGACTTTCTCTTGTACTTTCTCTAGGGGCTACCAAAGACATGGGGAAGATGCTGGGTGGGGATGAGGAGAAAGACCCAGATGCTGCCAAGAAAGAAGAGGAACGACAGGAAGCCCTCAGGCAAGAAGAGGAAGAGAGGAAAGCCAAATATGCCAAGATGGAGGCTGAAAGAGAAGTTATGAGACAAGGGATTCGAGACAAGGTAGGGATCCGGCTTTCAGCACACACTTGGCAAGTCATAATGCTTATTGGAGAACTACTGTTTTCAGCTGATTTGTGACAAGTTCCCGGAGCACTTGGATAGAGCCAGGTAATTATTTTGCCACACTGAACTTTCTAATCTTGTGCACTGTCCCTCAAGCTCTGTCCCTGTTTAAACACACCTCCCACACTAAAAAGCCCTGCAAAGTTCAAATAGAGAGTGAAGATGAGGAGACAAAAATGTCTATTTTTCTCATAATCTGTTAAATGCTTACATTATTTTAAATGTTACAGGCTTCTCTGTCCCTGTGTGGGTGCTTTCCAAGTTTGCATTCGTGGTTTGTGAGAAGGGTCATAATTCAGTGTGTTTCTGAGAGATACAGTCCAAGTATTTTCTGTATTGCTTCTAAGGCTTTCTTTGTGCTGACAGGTGAAATGGGACAAATCCACTCTACTTTTCATTTAGGCTTTTGCTACTCACAGGGGATTCATCCGAAAGAGAGTTTCATTCATCTGAGAGACTTAACCATTGGGAAGCACTCTCTTTTACCTAAGTTGAAGTAATGATACAATTTGACATGAGAAAGAAATGAATAATTGTGAGGATTCAGAATGAGCTTGGAAAGAAACATACAAAAAAACCCCACCTTTACTGGAGGAATTAGGTTAATTTAAGGTAGCTGAACCCGTTGCTACTGTACATTAGCGTTTAGGGATTGATGTGTGGAGGGAGAAGGCAGTTTTGCTGCGTCGCGCGCAAGACCATGTCAAAATTGTCTCTTTAGAATAACTTAGTTTTGTAGGAAGAGGTCCTGGAGCTCAGATAACTTGGGAAGAAATGTGCGTAATAGTTGGAGAAGGAATTTCTGATGATGAAGGGCTGTGTGTTGACTTACATCACTTACCAAAGAACAACAGAAAATACCTGTAGACAGAATGAGGGAGTCCTGCTCAGTGTAAGAGATGTTTCCTGTGCAGTGCCCACCTCTGCATAGGTTACAGTGCCCTAAGAACATGTCGGGGAAAAAGCTTCAAAGTGTCACCACAGAGCTGAGAGTGGCTGTTCAGAAACAAAGCTATGTCAGCACTGGGCTGAACTGCTCACCCAATCATAGAATCATAGAATCATAGAATCGTTAGGGCTGGAAGGGACCTTCAAAGGCCATCTAGTCCAACCCCCCTGCAAGGAACAGGGATATCTCCAACTAGATCAGGTTGCTCAGGGCCTCATCCAACCAGGCCTTGAACGTCTCCAGGGATGGAGCATCCACCACCTCTCTGGGCAACCTGTTCCAGTGTTCTACAACTCTCATGGTAAAAAATTTTTTCCTAATATCCAACCTGAATCTACCTCCCTCTATTTTAAAACCATTACCCCTTGTCCTATCACAACTGGCCCTCCTGAACAGTCTCTCCCCATCTTTCTTGTAGGCCCCTTTGAGGTACTGGAAGACCGCTATAAGGTCACCCTGGAGCCTCCTCTTCTCCAGGCTGAACAGCCCCAACTCTTTATGATTCGGGAGGGGAGCACAGATAAGGATGAATTGTTCTGGTGGCATAATGCATCTTATAAAGAGGTGTCGAGAATTGTTCTACAAATAAAGAAATTTGGCATTGGGCTTCTAAGAAAAGAAAGTACTGACAGGGAATAGACTACCTGTGACATTGCCAAAGAAAGGTATTCATATGACAATTTAAAAGAGGGTATTATTTACCAGACAGATTTAGAACCCCGACCTTGTCAAAATTTGTTGGTTTTATAAAGCATTTAATGAATATATATATATAGATAGTGTAATATATTAATATAAACATATCAATGTGTGCAGTATATGTTTAACGTACGCTTATAGGTGGAACTGTTTCTAAGCAATGATACAGGTTTGCATCAGACCTGAGGGGGAAAAAAAGAGCAATGAATTTCTGAGTTGCAGACAGATGGGCTAATGTCCTGTTTTCACTGGTCGCTGTCTCTTCTGCTAGACCACTGAAGTGTTCCCCGAGGTAGATGGTGGTTGCATTTTCCTTGCTGTTAAGCCAACTGCTGTAAAAGTATTTAAGAAATCTGAGATGCTCTCTGTTACAAATCCAAGGTGATCTAGACTGGAATTCACACATTCATGAGTAGGATGCACACAGCCTGAACTTGGATGAAACATCCAGCCAACAGGGATTTCCCTGGAATACTGTCAGCTATCTAGACTTTGTTAAGTCAGGCTGAGTACTGGGTGGTGAAGTCTCTTGAAATGCATTGATTGGCTCCTGATCGATATGGCAAAGGGTTGGCTCTGCAGAGCGAGTAAACTGGGGTACCTGGAGGAATGTAATTTGACTTCAGTCAAAGCTCTGGATTGCAGCATTTCTAGTGATGTAGTGAGTTACTTTTGAGATGAGCAATAGGAAGTCCTGCTTTAGAGAATGCACTCAGCTTGTGAAAACATAGGAGCTCCGTTCACAGTGGTTTTCTTTCTCCTGGGGATAACCCCAGGTAGCATGCATCTGAAAGATGAAGCTGTTTTCTGCAGAATCAGAAAAGATTGATAAAGCTGTAGAAAGGAGGTGTTTTTGGTTTTTTGTTTTGTTTTGTTTTGTTTTTGAGTTTGAGAGTTCCATGAAAGAGAGAGATTCTTTTGTCCTGATGAAGGGATGGATTTCATGATATACAAGACTCTGTCTCTAAGTATTGTGAACTGACAACTGGAAACATGCAACAAGTCTTGAAAGGATAGAAAAAAGGGTTGGATTATTTTGTCCATTACTTGTTTATTCAGAAATTACCTTCATTTCTTCACCAACTCCAGTAAAAGCAGAAATATAGAAAAGGAGAAAACTGAAACAGAGATTCTCATTGGTATGTATACATACACAAGTTTTTGTTATCAGGTATGAATTAAATCAAAGAAGTTCTAAGTAGCAGAGATCTCCCCAGTAATATTTGCTCATTTCTTACATAAAAGAGTGAAAAATGAGCATGAGTTGAGTGAGTGAGTAGGAAAAGATTATTTATGCAGAATACAAGTTTGAAAGTGTGTGTCCTGGGTCATGAACCTACAGTCACAGTGTTAATCCTTTAGAGCAGTTGCAGGTTGTTGGGGAAACAAGCCAAGGGAAGCATGTCTTCATCAGTTGGTTAATATGGCTCTAGGTGAGGCCTACAGAAAGGGCAGACTGATCATGTTTGTTGTTTTGGACTTTTTGCCTTCGCTCTTCAACAAGTATGATGAATACACTCCCTTGTTTAGGGCTTCAGGAAATGTGGGAGCTATGGCAGAGATTGGAAGGAATGATGACAAAGATTGCTAACTTCAAATATTAAATCCAACCTGTTAAACTGAGATACATATGCCCTCAACCCAGCATGACAGCTGGGCACGGAAATGACTTAGGGGAAGAGTAGAATGAATTACACATAATTTTTTCATTAAAAAATATGTAGCATTGTCATTTGGAAATGAATTTTTAAGGATGACATTTGGACGTGACATTTTGAAATAACTGGACCATCAGTTGTCTGCCAGCTCCTAACTAATATTAGTCCTAACTAATATTGAAGTCCAGCATCTGATACTGAAACTGGATTGAAGGAATCACAGAATCATAGAATGGTTCGAGTTTGAAGGGACCTTAAAGATCATTTAGTTCCAACCCCACCTGCCAAGGGCAGGGACACCTTTCCCTAGATCAGGTTGGTCAAAATCTCATCCAGCTTGGCCTTGAACACCTCCAGGGATGGAGCATCCACAACTTCTCTGGGCAACTTGTTCCACTATTTCATCACCCTCAGAGTGAAGAATTTCTTCCTTAGACCTAATTGAAACCTACCCTCTTTTAGTATAAAGCCGTTGCCCCTTGTCTATCACTGCACGCACTTCTAAAAGTCCCTCTCTAGTTTTCTTGTAGGCCCTCTTTAGGTACTGGAAGGCTGCTAGGAGGTTTCGCGGAGCCATCTTTCTCCAGGCTGAACAACACCAACTCTCTCAGCCTGTCTTCATACGAGAGTAGCTCCAGCCCTCGGATCATCTTCGTGGCCCTCCTCTGGACCCACTCCAGCAGCTCCATGTCCTTCTTGTTTTGGGGACTACAGAGCTGAATGCAGTATGGAGTATGAATGCAGGTGGGATCTCACGAGAGCAAAGTAGAGGGGCAGAATCACCTCCCTCGATCTGCTGGTCAAGCTGCTTTGGATGCAGCCCAGGGCATGGTTGGCTTTCTGGGCTGCCAGCACACATTGCCGGCTCATGTTGAGCTTCTCATCAACCACCACCCCGAAGTCCTTTTCCTCAGGGCTGCTCTCAACCCACACTCCTCTCAGACTGTGTGCTCGGGACTGCCCTGATCAATATGCAGGACCTTGCACTTGGCCTTGTTGAGGTTTATGAGGTTCGCACAGGCCAACCTCTCAATCCCGCCAAGGTCCCTCTAGATAGCATCCCTTCCCTCTGGTGTGTTGACCACACCACACAGCTTGGTGTCATCAGCAAACTTGCTGAGGGTGCACTCGATCCCTTGGTCCACGTCACCAAAAAAGATGTTAAACAGCTCTGGCCCCAGTATCGACCCCTTAGACATGCCACTCGTCACAGGTCTCCACTAGGATGTTGACTCCTGGACCACAACCCTTTGAGTGTGACTGTGTCATGGTTTTGCCCAGCCAGCAGCTAAGCTACCACACCGCTGCTTGCTCACTCCTCCCCCTCTGTGGGGTGGGGAGGAGAAATCAGGAGGAAAGGGCAAAACCGATGGATTGGGAAAAGGACAATTTATAGAACAATACCAGAAAAATGAGAAAGGATAATCAAGCACAATAGTACAAACACAAGAACAACACAAAATGACCACTACAACTGCTCACCATGCAAAACCTAGAACTCAGCCCACTCTCGACTGTGGAAGCGAACTCCCTTCCCCGAATAGCTCCCCTACTATATACTCTGAGCATGACATCCCATGGTATTGAATAGCCACTGGCCAGGCTGGGGGACCCGGCCGTGCGT